CTGACAAAGGTCTAAAGTGCTGCTCAACAGATCAGATAAATAAGAATGAACATTCTTTTAACGTTCTTTTAACGTAAAAATGTTTGTTCATAACTTTGCCAGAACATTCTGAACATGTTCAGAGAATGTTCTCTGTTAGCTAATGCAATTTCAACAATGCAATTGCAAATATCACTCATTTTTTCTTTATTAACAGGGATGTTTACTGATTTTTTTCTGACCTGTATGTCCAACAAAAACCATCTGAAGCTCCCAGTCTAGTCCCCACACTCGGATTGTCATATCTGATGCAGTAACTACAATTTCCCTGAGGGGACAGTAGACCATCCCTGTGATTTCCCTGAAAAAAAGGAGAATGATTTAATAGGACTAGAGTTACGTTTTTACATAGACATCAGTTTCATTTAACCCATTTTATCACAAATGTTTCCCAGCTAAGTGAATGCATGTACAGTATTTTACTCATTGGACAGTCCAATGAAAACAAACTGCAATACATGCGCATTTTATTTCTGTACAAATGAGTTGCAAAAACATAACTTAGCTCTGCCCTCCTACATACTTCAGCTCAATTTACATTTGTGGTGTGTGGTGTGTTCTTTAGTTCTCCTGGGTCAGTTTTTTACCAGTCCAATCAGCGAACAAAGGGAGTGGCTTAACAGAGTACCCGCCAACAAGGAAGTTAACGCTTGTCAATGAAGCGAGGCCAGACTCTCTGTACAAATTAAATGTATGAGAGTCTGGTGGGACAAAGCTAGTAAAAACATGGCCAGAACAAGTAAATCAATCAAACTCTGGTCATTATTGTTTGCAATACAGCAACAACTCTTAAAACTAACCCTTCAAACAAAATAAACTTTAATGTTTTATTTTTATTTTATTTAAGACGTTACTAGTGGGATTATTAATGTTTCCACAGAAAAGGTGAGAGAAAAGTTTTTCCTTTTTATATTTTAAAAAGGAGGGGATTTTATGTACTCCATAGCGTGAATTGAAATCAATCAGATTTTAAAGGGATAGTTCACCCAAAAATTTAAATTCTGTCATCCTTTACTCACCCTCAAGTTGTTCCAAACATGTATGAGTTTCTTTCTTCTATTGAACACAAAGGAAGATAAAGAATGTTGGTAAGCACAGTTGACGGTAGCTATCGACTTCCATATTTCGTTATTTTCGTACCATGGAAGTCAATGACTACCGTCAACTGTTTGGTTAAATTAATTACATTCAACATTCATAATATCATCTTTTGTGCTCAGCAGAAGAAATAAATTCATACAGGTTGGTGAAATGTCCCTCTAATAGCTGCGAATGACTGAATTATTACAAAATATTCAAAACAAACCTTAAATGGAGGTTCTTCTTGTGCTCCATAATGCATCCCTTTGTAAGGTCCAGCACAACTACAGCTCGTCCATATGCTGCCAGTGCTCTGCGGTCCTGCTGAGTCCTGCTAGGCACCAGTGCTAGATGTGTGAAAACAATGTGTCTCCCCAAACCCTCCACCACCCGTTTGCGACATATCAAGTGTGTAAGGCACCACACACATACATTTCCCATTCCGGCTGTGACAAGCTCATTAGAGTGCTCCAAAATCTGTAACAGACACATGTCTCATTAATTCACATTCAGTACAAGTTCCACATTCTAAAACAAGGTCCTGATGTCTACACCAGTGGTTCTCAATCTTTTTTGACTTTTTCCAATTGCCCCCCATTGTCAACAACAACTTTCAACCACCCCAGGGGGGAGCCTTTTTAATTTACAATTTAAATAATATTTAAATTAAATAGTTATAAAATAATCAAATTGTAGAATTTCTGAAGATTGGGGATGAATTTCTTTTTTTATTTTTTGAATAAAAAAATCAAATTTTAAAAGGTTTTTTTTAGTTATTTTAAAGCTTGTTTTTCATAATTTTAAGTCATCATGAAAGTATTATTGCGGAAGTTGTGATCCTTATTCTGATATTACTTCTAAGAAGAAAACAATTAGAGTGGGACTTTATTTATTTATGTCATCTGGAATTGATTGGGTGTTTTTATTAAAAATTAGGAGGACAAATGAGTTTTTAAAAAAGTATGTGCATAGATGAATCATTTATAATAAATACTTTAATTTTATTAAATCATATTGAAGCCCCCTAGTGGGCCCCGTCTTCCTGGTTGAGAACCACTTGTCTACAACATCAACATTTTATTCCATTAAGAAAACGTTATTCCAGGTTTAATTGTATCAACCGTGATCTTAAAAGTTTTCTTTAAAGCCACACCTTGCACACTCTCACATCCATGGGTTCCACAGCATGAACCAGAGGATTCAGTTCTGCATCTAGTACAGTGAGAATGGCCCCAGGTCCCCAGCCAACCAGTCTGCCTGCCAGATGTGTGGAGGTGAGTCCAGCATAGTGGATGGTGTGGGATCGGCGTAAAGATGGATCTCTAAGATGGCCATCGGGATAATAGAACTGCACATTACCACTACTGTGGAGACTAGTGAAGCCTCCGGCACCCTGACCACAGGTCATGTGACAAATGGGGTCTTTACAGGAGAGGTGGAGGACATGACGAAGGCCGTGGGTGAGAACATTCCCATGATTCATCTGAACAGAGGCAGGATAAAGAATGGTTAACCCTCTGGTCTTCAAAAATGACAGAAACTGTTAATGTTTTGAATTTTTATTTTGCTTCATCGGAGGGGGGGGGGGGGTGAAACTTGGTGACTTTTGTTGTCTTATCTATGTGAACACACAAAACAATCAAGGAGATGATTCTGATATGTTAAAGGATCGTAAAAAAAAATAGCTTCACTTAGCTTCCTTCCACAATTGTTCATGCACTTGAACATGTTTGTTCCCTACGGACTGGAATCTCATTTAAGATGGCTAAATACCCTGTGAAGTCCACTTCGCAGTCCACTTATGGTCGAATGAAATGCACCTTGCAACATCCTGGTTGAGTATGGACCAATTCATCATAATGATGTCCTAATTATTGCCCGTTCGTGTCACACCATATTAAACCCATTTTACGGAAAAGGGTATTTGGCCAGAACTTGCTTTAAAATCATACACAGACATCAACATTTTCTGTGTTTATTCAAATAGCCCAATTCTGTCACACTACATGACAATTTTGATGTTTAGATACAAATTTGAAGTAGAGGTCTTTATACACCAACTACAGATGGTATGCTGGAATAATATTGTCAGAGGAACAACATGAAGATATATATTTTTAACAAATACCCATTTTTATTAGGTTATAACATCATGGACGAGTATAATTGCATGTCATGTCTCCCACCCATAAACACAAAATCATTCATGTTTCAGAATCACTCTGGGCGATTCATGATCAGGGTCAGAGAGTGGCAACCTCTTGAACCACCACCATGTTCGCGGCTTCACGCTGGAAAACTTCTGCAGTCCCGAATTGGCCAAAATGCTCTGTTCGACTTTTCTGAGATCATCTACTATTCCCTGTGGATGACCTGTGACCTGTGTGAGTAGCTACTTTCTGTAAGATCTGAATTTTTGAGTTTGAATTTTTGAGATTGAATTTAAAAAAAAAAAAAAAATGAATTTGAAGTTCCTAATTTCTTCATCTTGAAAACTTGAATCTGTATTTTTTTTAACTGAATATTTGCAGTATAAGAATTCAGAACTAAAACTAGCTGTATGAAAATGCATGTCTGTAAAATTCAGCCATAAAAACATTTGTTAAATTTCTTAATGTTCAATATTCGTTTAAAAAAAAAAAAAAAAAAATCGAATTCAGAACTATTTAAACTACTAGCCTACCTTAAATTCATTTTTTTTTAGATTACACTTGCAAATAATTCAAATTTAAAAAATTCAAATTCAAACCATTTTGTCATAATATTATTAGCTATATACTGAAGCTAAGTATCCCATTCACGAAGAAACACAGAGGGTTAATGGAGAGGAGCAAATGCAAGACGATGGAGTAGTTCCAACTAAGGAGAAAGTGGGAATGAAAAGTGTGGCCAGTGATTTTTTCATGCATTAATGTACTTAGGAATAAATAGGGCAATATGATAGCTTAGAAATATTACTGTAGGTCACGTGACAATCAAGTGATTTAAGGTAAAGCAAACTCAAGCCATTCCCTTACTTTATCCACGCTCTCCTTCCACATTTGAGGGCTGTCTTCTTCATTAACTCTTCCAGGACTTTTTAGACAATCCACCGCCGAGTTCATCTTCACCATTTCAATTCACTGGAATGATTCAAAAACACGTGGGTAACGTTACCTAGGATTAATTTTTCTCGGAGTTGTTTAAAATAATTCGACATTTTATATAGCCTACTTGCGTTAGTCAAATCACAACAAGCTTTTTTTGTCCATAACAGTTTTATCTTTTGTAACTTGTGGTATTTTGTTATTAAAAATATTTTACTAAACTTGCTGTTGAAGGAGCTAAGTTACTGCACTCGGTCGCCGACTCGCCGTCTGAATACTAAATAGAGCCGCTGGGCAACAGTAACCATGGAGAAAACGACAGACAGACAACAACTTGAACAAGAGACAATACAGGTGACGTTTTTCCTTCCCTTTTATCAAAATAAACCTTAACACAGCAAAAATACAGGTTAAATTATGAGACAATCAAATTGATTTTTTGGAAAAAATCTTAAATAATTATTAGTAATCTGTATTCATATGTATTAATCATGTTGATAACAACTACTTGTAAATAAAAACATATTGCATATTAATCATGTACATTTTCCTGCACCTGTCATAGACGTCCAAATGAGGTCCAAAAAAATTACCCAGTTCAAAGGTCAAATGTTGAACATCAATATAACGTCCAAGTCCAAATAATGGACCTAGTTTGGACGTCAAATAGATGTCCAGAATTGGTCATGGACCGGCGGACCCAATATAGACATGATCTGCACGTCTATCCGACGACCAATGTTTAGAGAGCTAGATCACCAATAACATAAGTAAATAACGAGAGAAACCCCAGTCTAAATGCAATCATCTTTTAATAAAAAATATCCATTAATAATTACAAGTGACCTTGATAGCAAATAAATGAAAATGACATACATAAGATGTATTCAAGTTTAAATGCTAACTTGGTGTAAATATTCATTTGTAAATATTGTAAAATAATAAAAAGGATATAAAGTATTAATATCCCTGAGGAACAGAAAGCTCATTTGTATGTGCTTCTTGTTATATTTAATGCAACTTTACAAAATGCTGCTTACAGCAAACAAAACCATTATGTTCCAGCCATCGTCAGCAAAGTTTCAGGACAGGTGTAATGAATATTAAGCCAGGAAAGTTAATTTGTTATTTGTATAGACCAAAAAGGCTATGCACTGCGACTAGTAAACAGCCATTTCTCATCCTCTACAGTTCATGCCATAATCAATGTAGTTTTGGGTACCTTACTGATGTGACAAGGAAATATAATTCACTAGGTCCGTCCATACTGTGTGTGATTTTCTCTAAACTCTCTTTGTGTTTTCCTTTGTTATTTGCATATTATCGATTTAACTGGATATGAATATAAATCTGGGCTCAGATCTTATATCAAAAAGCATCGTGCAAAGCAGAATCAAGTTTGTCTTTATCAGAGGCGCTAGGCACTGTAAGTGACTTCTTGAAATACTGAATCTCCACCTTTCCGGACTGCTTGGCAAGCGCAATGCCAGAAAATGTGTTCTGCTTGGCTGGCTCACCAAACATAGCCATGGCTGTTACCCTGTGAAAAGAAGTGAGAAAGCAGAAGATTTTAAAAACAGTGAAGAGGTAAATGGAACTACACATACAGGAATTACCTGACATATTAGCTTACTGTATAACACTAAATGAATTTATTTCATTTTTATCATATTAAAAAGATCTAATGTTTGATGCCCTGGCTTTTTACCGGTTATTGTGTATATTCTCAGTGATGACTGGCATATAATCCTTCTCTGTCAGGTCCCAGATGAGCAGATGAGAGGCAGCATCCAGAACACAGAACACAGCTGGCCGTGTCTGAGACCACTGCACTGACAGAATAGGAGCGCCACTGGAACATTCAGACCACTCCATCAACGGATCTTCTCTCAGGACCGAGTGTAATCGAACTGTTCCGTCACTACAGCCAACCTAAGGAAAGGAATCAGAGGGGTTAATATAATGTTCCCAAAAACACATGTTCTAAATTTCAGCTAGATACTTTGAAGACCTGTCTCTTTTCATCACTAATAAAGATGTCTATGAACACAGAAATACTACATAATACACATACAAAGCAATTCAAGCTGCTTTTACCAAGAAAAGGGGTTCTCCAAAAGGACTGAAGTCAAGTGCTGTGACCTCCACTGGTCTACAGCTATCAAACTGCGATCTGTAGAACTTTGGAAGAACTTTCAAGCTATGCCTTGTACCATGTCTAACCAGACCCTTCGATGATAAAAGAAAATCAAGAAACATTTCAAAACCAAGATAAATGTTTGTGATGGGAAACACCACCAAACCAAATGTCCACTATCTTCAACTTCAAGCAACACCCACCATGTTAGTACCAATGAAGTAATGGTTCGAGTCAGAAGGGAGGAACTTTAACTGAAGGCTCACAGGAGATCCAAATCCCATTATAATGTCTTGAGGTAATCTCTCAGTGGTCTGTAGAGATGAGCTGTGGAGTAATTTAACTTTACCGCCAGGCCTAAGACCTGCCAAGGTAGAGCGCATTATTAAAGTGAACGGGGTCTAATAGATATGATTTCAGCTAAGATGATTTCAACTGCAATTTATTTGTATAGCATTTGTTTGTAATACTCATTGTTCAAAGCAGCTTTACAGAAAATAAGAAAATAAATTTAAACTTCGGACTTACCCAAGTCTGTTTGAGATCCAGAATCATTTCCTTTGGGCAGCTCGACCACAACCTATCAGAGACAACAAAACATACAACTTTATCTAAACAATCAATGACACAGCGTCAAATGAAGTGAGTTTCTGTAAAATAAAGTTACTGGTAAAAATCAGACATACCCAGAGAGTTAACACCCCATTTTCATCCAGAGATCCTAACTGAAATGACAGTCCAAGAGACTCTAGAATTTGCACAAGTAAACAAGGAATTTCTTTTGGTGATTTTCAAGAAGAAAAAGAAAAGAAAACAAAAATCTTCCTGACCCTTAACTTTTGAACTGTACAGTAGTTTATTAAAAACAAAGCAAGTCAAACACGTTTTGTATTACCCTCTATGTCCGCAGTTAGTGTGCTTTTTGAACTTGTATCGGCAGTCGTCAGTACAGGTTCAACAGACACCACAGGAGAGAGATGACCCACCCCAGAAAGTACAGCATCTGTGAACATACACACACAAAAACTTTAACTGTGACCTGACTCCAAATATCTGTATTTAAATATGAATGAAGCTGTGAGCATTGACTGACCCGTAGAGAAGGTCGGGTAGCGTAGTATCCACACCTCTTTGCCAACCACCAAGTTGCAGTGAGTGCCAGAATGTTCTCTGAGATCCCATACCACCACTGAACCCACTGCTGTACCAGCAAACACTAACGTAACTTTACCAGGACTGAAACAACAACACCTCACCTGAGAAGGTAGGATAAATAGGAGATTTGATTTTGATTAGACTTTTGGGTGAGCATTTCATTTCAGAAACATCAATAATGAATTTCAATCATTCCAGTATTCTTCTCCATACCTCAGATTCATAAAGAAGAATTTTTTGGGGTCTGGATGGCTCCCAGATGTTCCACACACAAATGACAGTCTCGCTGTCAAGCCGAACAGCACTGGTTTTGGAAGATGGAGGATGAACAGACAGAAGAGTCTGTCTCTGGACTTGAGAAAACTGCAGCAGACTCACCTGCCGACCTGCGAAAAGGTAGACACACACACAGAATGCGTGTTTGAGTATATTCACCACCGTAACACAGTTTACATTTCATATTTATTGACGTTGATCATTGTATGTGATGTTTGAAATTGAATATTGACCCAATTATCATTGTGAATATAAGCCTTAATTAAATCAGTTAATCATATAATGCGATCAAGTCTCTTCAGAAAATTTGGACTAAACCGCTCAATTCATATAGATTAGTTTTACAGCATCAAAGTGTTAGTTGCATAGCTGTCAATGGAGGGACAGAAAGCTCTCAGATTTCATCTAAAATATCTCCATTTGTGTTCTGAAGATGAATGAAAGTCTTACGGGTTGGGGTGAGTAAATGACAAAATATTAATTTTAGGGTGAAGTAACCCTTTAAAGCACATTTATTTACAATAATACAAAAATCCCAGAACTTCCTTCGCTAACACATTTATTCCACATCAAAATCATGTATTTTAATGTATACCTCTTAACCCTTGAAATTCATCAGTAAATGTTATTTGTAAAATTTTACCATGCAAAAATGGGAGTTTGGCATTGAGTTGAATGCAGCCATCACTGAAGGACAGAGCGTCTGTTTGAGAGCGAAGTCTTCGAGCAGAATTACTCTCTGTCATATTCTCCTCTATCAGAACAGCCATCACCTGACATGCAAAAAATACTTAAATCACCTTGTGGGTTATGGGGAATGACTGTCATGGTTCACTCGAGTTCATATGCACATATTGTTTATCTATTTTTATGACTGAATAACCCAAAACATGAGCAAAAACGTTTTTGCCCTTTTGTGGAAAATTATTTTAGATATGTGCAGATCATTTTTAACTGTTTAATAATTTGATAAAAAAAAATAAAAAATAAACCCATAAACAATATTCTTTACCTGTGCAGCAGAACGTAAAAAAGTAGTCAGACGTTGAGAATCAGTAGCTATTCTTGCAGTGGATTTCACTGAAGTGTCTTGAGACGCCTTAGATCCTGGTTACAGTTCAGAGAAGGAAATAGCACATAATAGACAATATTATTTATATACGTCCATTGTTGTTTGTTAATAATGACAGAGAAAATTTGAACACAATACCTCCACACGCTGCATTTCCTTCTTGTGGGTGCTGTGTCCATTTGTCTGTCATGTCAACTTCTTCTGTTTGTATATCTCGATCAGTATTGTCTTCATTGCACTGCACATAGGCCTGGAGACACATTTACATTTATTCATTTAGCTGACGATTTTATCCAAAAGCAACTTACAATTGCTATATATGTCAGAGGTCGCACCCCTCTGGAGCAACAAGGGGTTAAGTGTTTTGCTTAGGGACACATTGGTGTCTCACAGTGGATTTGAAGCCAGGTCTATCACACCAACGGCATGTGTCTTAACCACTGCGCCATCACCATGGGATTTTATGCAATCCCATGTGACACAAGAATCACATGGGATTGCATAAAAGCTATTTTGAGTAGGAAGAAAGAAAAACAATAACTTAATAAAACAAATACGGTAGATATAGGGCCCTATTTTAACGATCTAAGTGCATGGTCTAAAGTGCACGGTGCAGGTGCACTTAGGGTGTGTCCGTATTCACTTTTGCTTGTTTAACGGCGGGAAGAATGGTCAGTGCACCCAGTGCATGGTCTTAAAGGGTTGTCCCTATTCTCGTAATAAGTAATGGGTGTGTTTTGGGCGTAACGTGCAAAAAAAAAAAAAAATCAGAGTGTAATTTCCCATTCCCTTTAAATGCCAGTTGTGCTCGTGCCATGGCAGATTCGCTATTTACATGGCGGAATTTGCAAGTGCAAAGACTCAACTCGTCTCCAGAGAGCAAACGTATCTGCTTGTGCGCAAGGTTAAAGCGCGCAAACACATTTAGACTTAGTCGTGTTTTTCTTTTTCTATGCTTACAGTCCGCAATGAGACGACCCGAATCAAGACAGTAAAAACACACTCTTTTTTGTGCCACATGAACTGGCCGAGCTGTGCTCACACACGCACAGCTTTAACAGGATCGGCAACATTTTTCCCCTGCACTGCAGCATGCGAGATCACAACTTTCTCGTGCCGAACAGCATTGGGGAAAAAACACTCTATGAGTTAACACAAACTCACCAGCAAGAATAGCGGCTTCTGCTAGTCTTTCAAAGAGGTTAAGCTCATTTTTGGCTTACATAATAAAAATTGTCTATTTATTTATATGTAAATTCTGCCCTATGTTCCTTTTCTATGACCCTGTCATACCAACTAGGTGTCTTTTCCAGTGACTAGACCATTATTGTATTTGAAGATTCATACAACTGAAATTGGTTGTTTGATGTGTTTGTGTTTTAATGAATTATACCTTTAAAGGCAAACAAAGAATAGATATATTATAACGGTTACAATTATTTATGAGAATTTTACAATGCATTGAAAGGTGGAATACAAAGCATAATTAATACATTAAAATATTTCTATAATACATTATATATAAAGCCTTTAAGAAAAGGCTTTATATACTCCTCCATTCACCACCAGAGACCCTGAGTGTCTGTAGGCAGGACATAATCGCAGCATTTATCCAATGACCGTCTAGTTACAAGCACTGAAAAAAACTGTTCAAAGCAGCCCCATTGAGGTCAACTGATGCTAGGCTTCAACGGGGAAATAGACAGCGAATCTACGTGAATGTATGAGAACGAAATCGAGTCAGCCGACCTGCTATATGTAGCTGATTTTGAACAAACTTGTTTTCGAGATGAACGTGTTCTAACGCATTTTTTGTCAATAAAATGTAAACACAATAGTACATATTTGACCTTTAATTATTTGACATTATAAATCCTCACTGGGGTGAAGATACCTTCTGCTCATTTTAAATGAAAAACAAGATTATCAGGAAGGCGAGCCTTGAAATCTTCTAGCAACATTAGTAGTTGGAAACATTTGCATGCAGCACATCACTTGTCAAATAAAACCAGTTTTTCCCTTGAAAATTAGACTGCTTCCATATGGTGAAAATTGATAACTGCGTCGGGATGAAACTAGCAAATAACACTAGCGTGTTATATAACAATATCACTGTATGATAGGGCCCATAGAGTCAGATTTGTCCTGAGATAAGTCATTAATCTCATGCTGCCTATATTTTTCACAACATGGCCAAATACTTCAAAATATGACCTTTTTTTCAGCACACATAGCGTGGAAGTACCTACCACTTTCTAGATTTCTAACCTGTTTGGTATTGGCTGTTCCAAAGGTCTTGATGTACATGTCATACTCATTGACAGGAGGCAGGTCCAGCAGAGAGAAGGTGATGGAAAAGTCTAAATCAATCAGACGCAGAAGTTCCTCACTGCGCTTCCTTCAAATCAAATGGCTACTGATTAATTGATTAATTAGTCAACAAATGCAATTAATAATATTATTTTTAAATGTGTATACTTCATATTAGATGATCTCATTAGATACTCATCAAATACTCATTAGATTATTATAAAGACAGATAACTTACTTCTGTTTCTTGGCCACTTTTTGGCTAACCTCTCGCTGCTTTGCTGATACAAAATCAATAATTTTGCCTTGTGTTTGACTTTTTTCAGAGTGTCTTTCTGTGAAAACACAGCAAAACACTGATTTAGGTCTTCCTTTTCATGCTCGGTAGCAGAATGTGCAAATCAACATAAACTTTTGTATAACTACCTCTCTGGGTGATAGCTGACTCTATGGTTGTTGGCTTTGATCTTGCAGAGGAGATTCTCTCATTTTCCTCTTCAATGGCTTTCTGGATGGCTTCAATCTCTTCTCTTCTTCTGGGGCTCAGCTCCCTCTTCTTTTCTCTCACGTTATTGTCATCTTCCTCTTTCTCCTCCTCTTCATCATCATCATCCTTCTCTTCATCTAGATCCTCAAAGTCTTCCTCATAATCCTAAAAGCAGGAACAGCTCATTACTTTACAAACAAATTAACTGCATAATAAAATATGGAAGAAGAAGGAAGAAATAAATAAGGATTTTGTTGGTTAAATTCTGCATCATCAGGGAAATATAAACCAAGAATTGATATTTAAGCTAACTTGTATTTATCATAAATTCACCGAAATCTTTGATGAAATGATGACACCATGTCAAAATGACTTTGTTCTCAACAAAATGTGTTCACCATAAGTACTATCCGACTTATGTCATGGATGTAATGGGTGCACTGGTCTCCTTCACACCTCAAAATCCTCATCATAATCATCCTTATGATAATCTTTGCTTGATTCTTTGTCCTTTTCAGTATCTTCATTCCCCACCTTGAAATACAAAGGCATACAATCAGATTAGCTATGGAATTTACATTGGGGCTAGACAGTGGTTCTGAGACTTTAAAAGGAATATATTTTTATATTTTAGTTGATTTAGGCTGTTGTAATGTAGAAATGCAGCTTCTTGTGTATATTTTGAGACCTGTTTCTGTGTATATATACAGGTATATATATATATATATATATATATATATATATACACACACACACACACACACACACAGAAACAGTGTATATTAATATATATATATATATTGTTATTAAAGGTCTGCTACCTGACTTAAGCCTGTTGCGTCTCAAAACTGTATCTTGTTAATTCTGTTTTTTCTTATTTAACTGGTGGATTATCAAAATGTTTTTTTATTTAACAAATTATCAAAGAAAAAAAAAATCATGTGGTCAAAAACCAAACAAATAAAAAATTGAACATGCACAGATGAATCATTTAAAATTAGAAATTTCAGATCGAATCTTCATTCCATGCCGACTTTAACTTATCATAACTGAACTTCAAACAGAAACCTTACAGAGATTTTTGGATCACTCATTTCAGCTTGAAGAGACCTCCTGAGTTACCTGAGACCTCCTGAGTTAACCCCCCCCCCCCCCCCCAACCACACACACAGACAGAACTTATATGCTTAAGCATTTAATTCAATTTAATTGACAATGTTTGTACCTCTTTGTCTCTAATTATCCTTTCATTCATGTCATGTCCTGATGAATCTTTTTGTTTCCGCTCTCTTTCACTCTTGGAGTCTGAAGCCTCCTTGTGCCTTCTTTCACGCCTTCTGTCTTTTTCTTCCCTCTCCCGGGTCTTTTCCCTATCCCTATCTTGGTGATGCTGTTCAACTTCTTGAGAGTTACTTTTGTTTGTCACCTGTTGACAAAAACAACTTTAGGAAGACCTTTAATATTTTCAATATTGACTAGCCACATTTTTTTATATTCTTCCATAATATCAGTACAGTTTTACACCACTGTTTTTTTTTACACTACTTGTCAAAATAAGAATTTAAAATAACTTTTCAATATCACCTCGATATACATATAAAACAGTTCCTTTAGATTGTAATAATATTTCAGAATGCTGTAGGCTTTTTGATAAAAAAATAAATAAAAAAATTCATACTTATTCAGAAAACCTTTGACCGGTAATGTACATTTTTCTTATATTATCAGAATATCTCGCTCATAAATATCAACAATCTTATTCATGGCTTACATGACTTTCTTTATCCCTTTTTCTCTTCTCTTTCTCTTCTCTATCTCTTCTGTGTTCTGAAATAAAAGAGATCATATTAATAAAATTATCATATTAAATTTGGGATTTTCTATAAGTAAAAAAATAAAAAACAAAACTTTTTCTCTAGGCACACACTGTTCATACCTCTTTCTTTGTGTCCAGAATTGTCTTTATCCCTGTGTTTCTCTTTCCTTTCTCCCTCTCTCTGTTTTTCCTCATATTCATGTCGATTCCGATTACTTTCTCTTGCTCTGTGTCTTTCTCTTCTTTCTTTTTCTTTGTCTCTCTCCCTGTCTTCTTTTCCTCTTTCAGTTCTCTCCTCTTTCCTTCCATCTGTTTCAATTTTTCGCTCCCCATCTCTCTCAGCCCTTCTTCTATCTTTTTCTCTTTCCCTGTCCCGTTGTTTGTACATATCATTGTCTCTGTCTTTATCCCTATCCCTCCGTCTTTCACCGTTTCCCTTCTCAACTTGATCATGTCTTTTTTCTTCTTCTTCTCCATCTCTGTGTCTGTTGTAATCTAATGCCTTATCTCGCTCTCTCCTTTTCTCTTTATATCTATCATCCCTGACATCTTCCCTCTTGATATCCTGGTTTCTGTCCCTGTCTGGGTCTCTGTGTTTACTCTCCTCTCTTGTGCTTTCTCCATGTCTTTGTTTTTCTCTTTCTCTTCTTGCATCTGGATCAGGGTCTCTGTGTCGCCGACCAACAGATTCTCCATCCCTGTGTTTCCTGTGCTCCTCTTCTCGTTTGGATCTTCTTCTGCTCTCCTCTTTGTGAGTCTGGCAACACAATCACATTTTTACGGGTTGTGCTTTTAAACCTCTTTTTTTACACACAAACAAACGGCAGATTACCTGAATGTGCACTTTTAAGTCATCAGACCTCCATGTATCTTCTTTTGTTATTTTCTTATGAGAGGACGAGGGAAACTTACATTAGATGCATTAAAATTGTGCAGAATGAAGCTCATGGCTCGATTAACGTTAACATTACCTAATATAACTAAATACTGCTTACACAAAAGTAGATTATTTATATACCAAGTGTTTAAACGATGAAGTAAACATTTTACAGATTTAACTTGAGTGGGTAACGTTAAGCAGCAGTTTTATTTGGCTATCGATGAGCGGCTAATCGTGCTGTTCAGCTTTAAAACCTTCACAAAAAAAAAAAAAAACAATCGCCACACAACAGCTGATCCATACGGGATAAGTGCTGCTTTACCTTCCCAGGGTACATCACTTTAAAGATCTACTCCTCAGCTCTTCTTTTTAATCCAACAATCACAAGTTTGTGTTGACAGATTTCACCCCCATACCGCTATACATCTACAGCGAATGCGCAGTTAAACGCTACTATGGTAACCTGTCAAGCCAGACTTTTAAATCGAGCAACGAGCAATCGCTTAATACCAATACCATAGTAAGACATTAACACCTTAATATCTTACTATGGCCAAAGGACATACTGACTATTGCTATGGCAACACTGTAGAATTTTGAAAATACGACATCTTTTTAACACGCAGCTGAGCTTTGTACTACATCTGCCAAAGCGATGTCTAGTTAATGCATTCTTGTTCAGACAGATTGGTATGTTGATGTGTATGAGTTTTTTGTTTGAAGTGGTGGCAACTGAGCTGAAGACGACACAAATAAAATAAAGGCGATAACTAGACACGCAGTCGACATTTGTTTTTGACACAAATTATCTATCCATCTGGAAATATTAAATAATACATTAAACAATCAGCTTCTTGTTAATGACCAAAGGGAGTGGAAAAGTCTAGAGACAAACTAGGCTAATAAACAAATAAATAAATAAATAAGGTTAATAAATTTAAAATATAGATAAAAATACGTTTAAAATAAAGAACACATTTAACAGTACATTTACAGTAGAATATATATACATTATATGATATAATATGTTATATAATATAACGTATAAAAAGTATTTTTAGATTTATAATATCAATTAATTTATATGAATAATATTAATAAAATGTTCAGTGTATAAATTGTGAGTTTATAAAAGATAGTTTCCTTATAAATTAAGGATGGGGTTGCTGGTCGTATTTGGGGGGTCAGTAGCATCTAAAAGATCGAAAACCCCTGGTTGAATCATCGCATCGCTATCGACGACACCCTGCTCATAAAGCTAGTGTTGTGTTTTTTTTTTTTTCTCCAGTTGCTCAGGGTGGCGATTTTGCGCTGTAAACACTCGCTGTGTGTGCGGTGTGAGCGCACGCGCGCGCGTGTCAAGCTCTCCGGCTGTCAACAGCAGCACGCGCTTCTTCTTCACCTTCACCTTCACAACACACACACACACACCAGCGACAAAACAGACGACACTCGCGCACAGACAGTAGCTACCAGCGACAACTGAGTTTTAGGTCTCTAGTAATGCACCGCTAGAAATGTTTTTAAAATTAAAGCAATGCGAACCATCTGCGTCAAAATGGACTGGTGTACGGGCGAACTAACGTGAAACCATCCTCAAATTGATTTAGTTGAGCGTTGTAGCCTACTTGAACGTGGGACGGGATGGTCTGAAGTATTGTGTTTACTCTTGAAGCTTTTACATTGAAGCACAATGTTCACGTTTGACAGCAGTGCCTAACATTTGATCTGCGCCGTTTGTGCTGAATATGACAGAGGACATTATGACGGCTGTGCGCGGAAATCTTTCTCAAACAGCAAGTGCTTCGGGACAAAAAGATAGCGGACAAACTGCTCCGACAAACGGGGCGATTCCTCCCTCCTCAGCGGCGGCGGAACTCAGCGAAGACTCCTCGTCCTGCACCAGCGAACTGACCCGCACGTGGCTGCCGTTCGCCAAGACCTTCGTCATTATCTTCCCCATATATGTATTGGGTTATTTTGAGTTCAGCTTTAGTTGGCTTTTAATCGCACTCACAATGTATTTTTTTTGGAAGAGAAACATGAAGTGTAAGAACACGAGGCTGAACAGATCACTCTCCTTTTTTGAGCAAGAGGCTGTTAAACAGGAGCTGGAGGCAATTGAGTTGCCATCATGGGTGAGTTAAACTATTCTTTCATTGATGACATTGTGTTTCAGAACATCATAGTCTGCACACTAGGACACAGACATGGAAAATAGAGTGAGTTTATATCTATTTCACTCATTAAAGCTAGAATTAGTGAGATTTGATGACCCTGGGCCAACTTGCCATAACATCTTTCCATACTTCTTTAGGCTTGGATGTGGTGCATTAATGTGTTAAGCAAAGTCTTATTGGAACTAAAGTTTGAAAAGTGACAGGGAAGCAGTATTTCCTTGATCAAAGTTTATTGTTTTGCTTTATTTAAGTTTATGATGTTTTGTTTGCTGTTGTGTCCATTCCACAAACTGAGTAATTACTTGAAACATAAATGGTATACTTCATATATTATATATGAAGAGTTCAGATGCAAAAGCCTCTAAATGCCATTTGAAATTTTCTTCTAAAATGACCAATTTTATCAAGCTTGTATATTTAAGTTCAGTAATTTCACTTAAATGACAATTAATAGGTAATTTTCATTGCCATTTAAGTGAAATTACTGAACTTAAATATACAAGCTTGATAAAAATTATCATTTTAGAAGAAAATTTCAAATGGCACTTAGAGGCTTTTGCATCTGAACTCTTCATATACACACATTGCCCCCTCAGATCTGATTTGTGCCCCCTCAGTTTAAAGGGTTAGTTCACCCCAAAATAAAAATTCTGTCTGTAATTACTCACCCTCATGTTATTCCAACCCCGTAAGACTTTAGTTCTTCTTCGGAACACAAATTAAGATATTTTTGATTAGATCTGAGAGCTGGATCACTCCTCCATAGACTTCTTAAGGGAAACTGGTCAGCCCAAAAGTTATTAAAGACATTGTTAAAATAGTCTAAAAACTGACTACAGTGGGTCAATGAACCCGCTGTGACGTGGGTGTCACAAACACTGGTGATCATCTGGGGGGGGCATTCAACTGAAGTAGCCACTGTTCAACCTGAATAAGGCAGCAGTCCAATGTTTTTTCACCAAATATTGTAGAATTAAAACACTTTATACCCAAATGTGAAAAAAATGTACATGAATCAATGAAAAGCAATAATAAAGCCCCAGTCTTACAGATCATAAGATACAAAAAGGCTGCAGCGCCTGCCGCCTTAAAGGCCGTTTTGCAGGGTTCATTTTTCAACAAATTTGCTTGTTGGTAATAAACATTTAAACTGTTATCCATTGTATTTTATGTTGTTGGGTATCACAAAACGGAATATAATACGAATAAAATAGGTACTATCTTACAGCGGTTTGCAACGATTCTCCTTTCCCCCACAATGCATTGCATTACATCACATCACCTTGGGGAGAGAATTTACCTAAGCTCACATGTGCATTGAGAGTGTTAGAGAGACGAGTCAAGTAGTAGAGAGTAGTATTTAGATAATGCAGATTGTAGATAAATACATAGCTGTATAGATAGACTAGATATAGATGGACAGGTAGGTAGATATAGATAGATAGGCTAGTATAGAGAGAGATTGGCAGACATCCAGATAGCATAACATTAACATAGATAGCTAGCAGCTAGATAGATAAATAGATAGAAATATATAGTAGGTAGATTGACAATGGTGAGGCCATTCTTAAAAATATTATCGTTTGCCGTAACCCGACCGAACCTTGTCAATTTAGGACTGACCCAATTATTTATTTATTTTTTCCTTTTAGTCCGACCGACTTGCCGGTTGTAAACTTGCATTTTACTCTTCAAACAACTAATACAAAATGCAATAAAATAATATATATTACAGTAATTATTGTGAATATAAATTGCATAGGCTACTTTATTTTAAATAAAAACCTGTGGCCTCCTCTATGACTTGTGTTTACACCACTGGTTTTACACTGTGGCCTGTGAGTTCGCTTCGTTTCATTCACTGTCTTTGGTTCGCGCTTGGTGATGGCTATGGCACGGCTGCTTGTAAAATACGTCTGTATGAGCCTACATTTAGGCGCTATAGGGAATAGGAGAATAGGGACTCGATGTTATTGGCCTTTTCTCGGAGCGCGTCCAGCTCGTCACGGTCACTTTTATTACAAACGTTTTTTTGCAAAAACAATGAATTACCATATAATTTACAATCAAAAACAGTAAAAGCACATATGATTATATTTTATTTTAATAGTTTTGTTTCTTCTCATTTTTTTCTTCCATTAATTTACATTCCTTTTTTGTTACATTTGCTATTATGGTGCCTTACATTTGAATGCAAAAAGGAGATTTTGATAGTTCAAGTAGATTAAATTCATGATAATTACCTTTAAAATATACAGGCACCGATATGCCATCCCGTAATGATTAGTGGAATCAGTTGACAGTTTTTTTTTTAAACCATAAATTGAACTGGATATTTTTTATTAATGTAGATTAAGATGGTATTGGATGACAGTTCCTCCTTACCTCACTTTACTACTGTAAATGAATGTCCACACAATATGGGATTCCCAATGATAATTTGAAAACAAAAATGTTTGCTTTCCGCATTCTTTCATTCTGGCATGAGGCAACTTGTCTGAAGGTGATCAGATGTCTGTTGAACTGGTTTATGCTGATGAGTTTGAAGTTGTTTTTTGTTTTTTTTGTTTTAAGAGAATGTTTGTTAGTAGTGTTATCAATTCTGTGATTATTCATTTTTTATTTATTTCGTGGCACCAGGCACTCAAACCAAAAAGTGTCTTTTGAAATACTGAATGACACCCCCCCCCCCAACCCCCATCCTCTCTAATTAGTATATCATGACAAAAGACAAACCATTTACATCACAGGTTATCACATTCTTATCAAATGATGTCACTTTTGGTTCTCTATACACTTAAAAAAAGATCTCTACATTTCTGTGGCAAGTGGCAACCGTACAGACTTCTTCTGCAATTAACATTCTCACAAATATCTGCTTAGTCAGTGAGGAGAAATCATGAGTGATCTCTAGTGACCATAGAAACGTGGTTTCCATGGAAACTTTCCACTCTTTCCCACATATCATTAATACTAAACAAAATAGTCAATATTCAAGCTACACCAACACTGTTTTGTGTGCACTGCAGAAGGAAGTCACACACATCCACTTTGCTTCTTGAGATTACAATGATGTTACTTTTGTAGGACATACAAAAAGAAGTTCTTCTCAGGTAGCCACTTTAAAAAAAAAAAAAATGGTAAAAAACTGGAGTTGCAAGAAATACTGCAGAAGTACTGCAAAAAATTATGATGGCAACATATTAGGTTTTACAGATTTAATTTAAATGTACATTAAAAAACGTATTCCATTAATTTATTTTATGTTGATATACCAGTCTATTCACCTTATTCTGCTCTAATCAATGCAATTTTGTGGTTTCTCTTTAAAATCTCTGTGAAAGTTTTAAAGTCGCTTTCATAACGGTCATGTCCGTGAATATAAAACGCATGTGTAGACTGCTATTTTTCTAATGTCTGGACCACCGATCTATATAATATAACATTATATAGATGAGTGGTCTGGACTAGAGTGCTAGCATTCTATGTAAACAATACTTCAACAGGAAGTGAAAAACCGTTTAGTCAGTTGAAACCACAATGAATCATGGGAAATAGAACGATCGCAGAATAAGGTGGATACTAATATCTGTTTTATACCTTTGTAGTAGACTAACAACCCACAAACACAGGTGATAAGAGTCAGTAAGGCTAATGCGCAGAGTTGTAGTCAGTTACTGAGCACCACAAACAAACAGCAGCCACATTTTATAGTTCTTCCTCATACCAAACCAATTTGCTAATGATGCGTTCATGCTATGTCATAATCGTGATAATGAGATGGCAACCTGTGATCTTCTGCCCGGAGCTGTTCACGTCCTTAGAGTTGGATTTATGCATTTCTATGGCAACAGCAGCAGTCAAGTCGTACAAGACTGAGCTCTGTAAGTTGTTGACATTCATTATTATTGTAATGTTATGGGCTTTGAGACATGAGGTAATTTAATGCAGTCTCTCATGATGCTTTGCCGACTCTGTTGTGTGTGGAGGTGTGGCTTTGGAGACACTCTAAAGCGAGAGTGGGATCTCATGCTTTCAAAGCTCCAAAATAGCTTACACTACCTTTAATACTAAAACCTTTTTTTTGTTGGAAATGAAAAAAGTGCAATGTTAGTGTGTCATCTGCAATAGCAGTCTCGTTCCCACTTATAATAAGATGCATTTGTCTATTTTTTTTCCAGGTTCATTATCCAGATGTGGAGAGAGTTGAGTGGCTAAATAAGGTGAGACAAGTATGATATAATAATTCCTTGTGTCCTTCATCATTTTAAATTAATCATCATCCAACACTCTCTTATACTGTACATGTGTCTGCAGTCAATAATCTGCAATCTAATACTCTCTCTCTCTCTCTCTCTCTCTCTCTCTCTCTCTCTCTCTCTCTCTCTCTCTCTCTCTCTCTCTCTCTCTTTTGCTCTATCTGGTTTCACACTGGTGGTGGTGATATAATCCAGTTCGCTATTCTCATATATTACACATACATAGCCATCATTTTTCACCCGCTGTGTGTAGCTGTGTATAACCAGTGGCTTTTTAAAATATTAATTGTACATATACATTCAGTGACTCCCAATCTTCATAAAACATGCCGGATTTGAATATTTCATTGGCATCTTGCTCAGCGGTGTAATTTATGTACCTGAATAGCCTCATGCTTCTGCAAAGTATGTCTACAACATTCAAAATTATGCAAATCCATTTACATGAAACACTGCAGAATCACTCATGTTTTTAAACATGACGAAAGTGAGGATAAAAACTCTTAGTGTACTGTATCCTACTAATATTACAACCTAAGTATCAATACACATGCATTTTGAAACACATAAAAGTGATATACATACGAATGTAAAAATATTGTTCTATTCAGTCTCTTTTTTTGTCAGACTAGCTACACCTCTAGTTCAAAGGCTTATAGATGTTTTTTTTGTTTTTTTTTGCTTTCAGACAAGTCATTTGTCTTTTGACATTTAGTTTTTAATAATTCTGTTTGTGCCATCCCAGTATGGCTACCTGTTCTGTTTTCATGGGGAATCATTTGCAAATACTTTACAGTTAGTCAAGTTATAACATGTCCTCAGGCCTGTTTAAACAAAACCTGTGTACCTTTGTGTGATCGGCAACCTTATAAAAATCTAAAAATATATAACTTACACACAGTGAAGATTTTGTTTTTTAAATCAAATGTAGTCTGGAGAGTATCAACAGTTAAAGTTCTGTGGTGACTAGTGAGTTTTGGGTTGACTTATTTAACATATTCAAGTCAGTAGCAGTAAGGAATGAGGATGCCTTAAGTGCCTCAGTTATTCTCAGTTGCTGAGCAGATACACTCTTTGCCTTTCAGACAGTGAAACAGATGTGGCCTTATGTGTGTCAGTTTGTGGAGAAGCTGTTTAAAGGAACAATCGAGCCAGCCATCAAAGAAGCCAATGCCCACCTCAGTACATTCAGCTTCACCAAGATCGATCTCGGAGATAAGGTACCCTTACGGAACAAAAATACAATGGAATTTACTGCAAAATATAATGTGATATATTATATGGGGTGGTGATGGCACAGTGGACCTGGGTTCAAATCCACTGTGAGACACCAATGTGTCCCTGAGCAAAACACTTAACCCCTAGTTGCTCCAGAGGCGTGCGACCTCTGACAAATATAGCAAGTTTAAGTCGCTTTGGATAAAACCGTCAGCTAAATGAATAAATGTAAATGTATTACATAATACATTTCCATATATGAGAAACTAGTGGAATATACTGCAATATATGTAAATAAATAAATATAAGGGGGTGGGGGTGGGGGGGGTGGGGGTTAGATCTTGTAGTGTTTAATGTTCTATTATTTTGGAATTCAAAAGGTTTTCTGGTATGTCTGAGGTTTGAGGGTGACCGTTGTGCTGAAGAGTGTACACCCTGTGGTGAGGTTGACGATTGGCTAAATACCATAAAGACAATAATTACTATATTTTAAAAGTAATGGCTGTGCACTCTTCAACACAATGATAGCCTCTTGGCTAATTACTTTAGTACATAAAGGCACATAAAGTACTGCTTGTGCTTTTGGTAACTATCTTGAAAAAATAAAACATTTATAATGTAAATAATTAAAAAATGTAAGAAAAATTTTATCGGTACATTATATATTTTTCTATATATGTGTGTTTATGCTGCAATATATCACACATGCTGTACCAAATCTGATCAAATATACCGTACATTAATATACATTATTCGAATTGGGAACTGTTCTGTTGATTTTAATTATTTTTAATTATTATTATTTTTTTCCCTCTCAGACACCTTGTTTCATTTTACTTCTGTTGTAACACCCTCTATATGGTTACAAAAAACCTAATAAATAAATAAAATAAATAAAGAATAAGTGAATTGAAAGCCAATACTGTATAATTTCTTATAATATTCTGATAATAATACTATTTAGTCTTTTTAAAACACTGTATGTTGTGTTATTTTGGTATAAGACCATCTTGCATATTTTATTGAAGACAAGACAGCTCTTTACTACTTCCATTAAAAAGCTTCATATTGCATCAGGAGTTGGAAGAAATTCTGTGACGTAAGAAATTTAAACCTTTTGGAAAAGCTGACCGGCTGTCAGATGGAAATAGTTCATGTTGTCAGGGCTCTGTGGAGGAATGCATGCCGTTAAAGAAATGTCAACATCCCTGACGAGGCATCTGTGCTCATCTCTGTCACAGCCTCTCAGGATTAACGGGGTCAAAGTTTACTCTGAGAACGTCGACAAACGGCAGATCATCATGGACCTTCAGATCAGGTGACATCACATTGATTAGCCTTTCTGACATCTTTTGGTCATCCTGGTTGTGCCATGTTTTTTCATTATTTGTCCGTTCTCTTACAGCTATGTTGGAAATACTGAAATCGATGTGGATATCAAAAGGTACTACTGTAGAGCAGGGATCAAAAGTATACAGGTATATTGTTATATTTTCTCATAAAACATTTAAGAGTGACATTCTCTTCTCTTGTGCCGCCTAAAGCATTAGGATTTCATTTTCCACGATTATTTATTCACAACAGATACACATCAGCTCTGTTATGGCATCTTCCATTGAGTTTGTCTCCATGACCCAATGGATTATGCTAGCCAAGGCCAGAGTATTAATTTGTTGGACACGGAGATGCTCTTTCCTATATTGTGATTCAACCACATGTTTCATGGAAGGAATTCCATGAACTGAATGGAGCCTATTTTTACAGAAAGGGTGTGTGTATTTATAGGATAGCGTGTAACCAAATACCCAAATGCCCTTGTGCTGTTCGTAAATGCAGGATATACACTCATGCTCACACAATGACGGTTTTGTGCATGATTAATGGGGCTATTTCATTTTCACGTATTAAACATGTAGTAAGGTAATCTCTTTGTGTGACAGCATACTGTGTTTAAGTATGGTGGGGGTTTTTTTTTTACTGTACAAGGTCTAAAATACCTAGAGAGAGATATCTGTTAGCATTCCCATTCATGTCTAATAGCTCTGAAGTATGAGACCTGAAGCCTGCCATCTTTACTTCATGGACACTCAAACAGTTGAGACAAACAATTGAGATATAATTTAAGAAATAACAGTCAATTTCATAGTTTTTAGAGCCCTCATACAGTAAAATAATTAGTCACTGGTAAAAGACATGGCTGATATAACATCTTCCACTCAGAGTTATGATTCCATAAAGACTGGATGAGGAAGGACATTCCCTCGAGTTATTTGTTCTCATTAGCAGCTCAAAATAATTTTTGTAAAGGTAAGTGTCTTATAATATATCACAAGCATGCGGAACGCTGTCAAAAGCAAAATAAATTAATGCATCAGTATCGAGATCCTGACACATTCTTCATCGGCCTTAGGCGCTTAGTGGTTAGTTTGACAGTGCTGCTCTCTCACTGCTAATTTTTTTCTCTTGTTTGTTGTTTTCCAGAAAAGTTAATCATTCTTAGAACAAGATAAGTTTACATGAGAAACAATTTTGCATAAGCAAAACAAAGAAAAGTCATGAAAAATAAGACAAATATATGAAGTACGCACCAAGAAAAAAAGTGATGGAATTTTTTTTCGTTTGCATTTCTTATGTCCTTATGTCACCAGTAACCACATTCAATTTGGTTTCAAATCAATTCACATTCAAACACACATTCACAAATCACATTCAAATCAATTTATTTTCAACACATCCCATAATTTTTAAAATATCCACCTATACCAAATGGTTGAGATGTCACTAATGGTAAAAAATGGTACCGGAATTCATACACATACCTTGCCATACTTTTTCATTGCCCATCATAATTTATGATCAAAAAGTCTTGACAAAACACATTGTCAGAAAGGTCTGAGTCTAAGACCCCATTTACACCTGGTATTAAAATGCGATCTGTATCCAGATAAGTTATCCGGATAATAAAAAACGCATGTTAATGCAAGGTGTAAATGCGTTGTGATCGGATCGTGATCGGATCTGCCTGACCACATCTGGAGGTAGTCTGGCTCGCATTGTGTTCGGATCTTTACTAGGTGTAAACGCAATCTGGTTGTTGAAACCACATATATTTTACTCCTCCCAAAAATGCAAAAAAATTAACGAGTGAGAGCGTGTTATATAGGCAATATGTCATGTTATAGTCAGATATGACGGCGCTACTGTGACACGCATCACCACAGATGAGCAGTTGAGTGTCTATTCATCAAGCCAACGTGCAAACATCGCAAATAAAAGTGAAAGTAAGTCACAGACGCTTCATCTTCAAGTAAAGAAACAAAATTATCTTACCAGCGCTGTTGCCACTCTCTTATTAATGTCTTTGATTTGGAAATTAGCTGATGATCAATAAAATGCAGCTCATATCTGTTGCTTTTGGTGGCGTGCAATCCATTAAATCTGCATATAATGCGGGAGTTTAAGATCGGATTTATATCCGTTTTGCAAAAACACATTTATGTGGCCAGGTGTAAATGGAATCAGTACTTATTATCCGGATAACTTATCTGGATACAGATCACATTTTAATACCAGGTGTAAATGGGGTCTAAAGGTTCCATATTTTTTTTTAACATAAGTGATATTTGGACAGAATGCATACAATTAAATTCAATGGAATTTATGTTATTTTTGGTATTGTGCCTAAACAAAATCTCTTGGGAACTTTTTTGTGATATCAACTTCAAATTTGGAACACAACTTGGGTAGAAATATGGCTTTGATGTTATAGTAATTTTAGAACAAAAAATATTTAGTAAAATATACAAAATTTGGTTGAGCAGACAGTTAAAGTGTTAATAGAATGAAGTTTGCATTTCATGTGAGGATTCCTAGGCTGATTGTGATAAAGTAATGAAATTGTGTTTTTCTTAATTAAAGCAGCATTGCTTTTATTAATATCATCTGATGAATTCATGATATGTCATGTTGCCTTTAGAGCAGTAGGATACACACAAACCTGTAGCAAGAATCTTTACTAGTCTCTCTCTCTCTCTCTCTCTCTCTCATGTACATGGCTTGATGTATGAATAGCTACATGGAGTTCTGCGTGTGATTCTTGAACCGCTTTTGGGGAATATGCCGCTGGTTGGTGCTCTATCCCTGTTCTTCCTCAAGAAACCAGTGAGTTTACAAAGTTATATAATTCTATTCCCTTTTTTGCTGTATTTGCAGCCTGTTGACTTGTGTTCAACTTGTTCAATGTGTGCATTTTTCCAAAAAGATCAATTTTACCATCGCAAACAAATGAGCTTTGTCGTTTGAGTTGCTGTTATTTGCAGTTGTTTAGCTCTAGAAAGAATATTGATTACATTTATATCTTTAGCAGATGCTCTCTAACAGCAACTTACAGTAACATGCTTGCGTGATCCAACCCAATTGTTTTTGATTTTGTTTGCAAGCTCAAGGTGATACTCCAGGTTTCTACTGTACATTCAAAGTCATGGGTGAGTGTTAGGCCTTGAAAGGATGACGGGTCTTAAAGATGCCTTATGTGATAACTACCAGAAAGCGTCTTGTTAAAAAGCAAGACATATTTTCACTTTGTTTTCAAAGTGTGTCATAGAGTTAGATAAGGTAATGTAGAAGATAGATAAGATCAGTTGCAAGTAGTTTTTTTTATCTGTCAAAGGGCAACTGAATGACTTTGAGACATTTACAGATGTAGGAATACTTGGTGGATGGGAATGAGTCAAGAACTTAAGAGGTGTTGAAGAACAAAACGCTGGAGCCCAAATGACAATACAAAATGTCTTATTTTATACAGGTTTGGAACGATTTGATGACCGAAATTCCACATGAACAATTACTTTAATGCCCCTATAAAACCACACAGATCTATTGCTTTAAAGATTTTCCCACACACTTCATGCATTTTAGCCTGAGGATTTTTGATTATTTTTTAGAGACACATTTGACATGTGGTGAGCTAGTGGAGGGTATCTTCTCAATCACTTCAGAAGATTCAGTGGCGACAACATGGAAGAACTTATTAGGAGTGTCACTTGATGTATAATTATAAGAAAAACAGAAATTTCCTACATTTTCTTTTGCAGAACTGCATGATTGAAACTATTTAAACTTTGGTTTTCTAACCAGCATAAAATGATCTTAACAGCTCTACCACGTGTGTAGCAGTGGCAGACAGTCAGCGACACAGTCGGCACTGACCCAGATTCCACTGTCTGTCTATTCCAGATTAGTAGCAGTGCTAATTTCACAGCAGGTCATCATGGCTCAGTATGATTCTAGCTCAAATTCAGCTGCTGTTTTTGAATGAAGGCTTAAATAAGGCAGGTGTTGGAAAACTGAAAGGGTTTCAGTGCTGTGAGAAGTGTCCTGTGGTCTGACTGTAGTTTTTGATGCACTGCAGAGGTGGCTCCTCTTCAGATATTCCTCTGCAGTGTGGGCGACACTGAAACATCTTGCATCTGTCCCCATTTTAATGTATGGCGTCTGTTTCTTTACTTATTTTCCTTCCTTCCTTTTTTTTTCTCCATTTTTTATGCTGACACAGGGACACAGATTGTTCTCATCAGAGTAATTAATAGTAGATGCATACTGTAGTGTTGTTATTTACAGGCTGGCATTACAATGGGACTTGACATCCATGGTGATATTAAATTACTGCCCCAGGGATGTTCAGAGGTGTTTATTTATTTTGTCTTTTTGTTCTATTTGCCCTTGTTTTTCTTCTCTGAACAGATATACCTGTATTTTCTCTATAGCAGTGTAATCTGTTTAAGTTATTTTATGCTTCTCTCTTCCCCCCCCACACACACACTCACTCAGCTGCTGGACATAAACTGGACAGGCCTCACAAACATATTGGACATCCCAGGGCTTAAGTAAGTAAAAATTTTCCCCCTAATTATTTTAATTATTTTCATGTTGGTCAGGGTTCTGGTTTTGTTTTGTTTTGTTCGGATTTAATGGCCTCTTGTTTATTTTTTCTTTATTTAGTTGTACTTTATTGTTGGCCTATAACCCATTTATTGTAGATAATTGGGAAAAGAGCCTTTGTAGAGCATTATTAGTATATAATCTGTGAAAGACATCCTTATTTCTCTCTAATGTATGCTGACTTGAATTAACTATAAGCATTTATGCATATTATATTTGGACTGTCTCATTATTGACTACTTTCAAGTTTACATTTTTGGCCACTTCTTTGAAACGACTTATACTACTTTCTGACATACTTGACTGAATTCATGTTTCACACATAAAGATTTATACTTAAATGTATGAAATTTGTTTAAATTATTATGTTAGTTGATTAGTTTAAAATCTTTTTACCTTTTGAAAAGCTTTATTTTTTGATTCTCTTTAAACCGTATTCACTCCAAATACAGCAGATATTTAATCAGAGTTGATTGGATAACATGAAAAATCTGCTTCAAATTGTACAGAGAAAGCATTTTCCTAACCACAGTAAAACATTTCTCAAGCTTTATATATTGAATAATGTTTACTCTATTGCCCTGCAAAACATACACAATTAAATTACAATAATTACATTTATGCATTATGCATGTAGATTCAGAGTAACCGTTTTTCCAGTATGCGTTTCCTTTGAATCATTTAGACAGAGAAAAAAGGAAAATGTTTTCAAATTGCCTAAATGTCCACTGTAATGCCAGATTAGATATATCCTTAATGTGTTGGTGTAACATACTGTCTGCAGTAAAAAAAAAAATGGAGCAGATTCATGAGTGTTGTTTCTCAGGATTGGCTGATCATGCACACACACACACACACACACACAGACGGGTGAGGTCGGGTGACACAGCTCTAGCACAGTTTAAATCTGTATGTATTTTTTTTTGCTGATGTTTTGTGTATCGTGTTTTTGGAAAAGTGAATAATTGCTCTAGTTGAGGCTGTTTGGTAGGTTGATCTTCTAATAATCCTTATTTCAAGGAAATAAGCAACATTAGGCTTTGGTTATTAGCACTGCAGCATTGAGAGTCCTTGTTCTTAGGCTATTAAAGTTTATTGGTGCTGCTTTGGATCTTTACTGCTCAAACGAAGTGTTGCTCCCATGCCAGCCATGCTCCTTGCATCATATGGCTAATGTAAGACTGAAGAATAGCACACTGATCTGGGATCTGTCAGACCAGGCAACCATAATATTTGGCAGTACCCTAATGCAGTGTAATTCTGTGCTGTATATCTGTAGTGTTCCACTGTTGAGTGATTGTTGTAGTCTCAGAGAGTGCTATGCTTGCATTATGAAGATGTTTGGGGAAACTGCATCTGCTTGGCAAGCAAATCAATATGACAGTTATGATCATCATTTTTGCTTTCATTTTTTATGGTGTTGTTTATTATTTCTGTTCGGCGTATTGTGTCACCCGATGGATTTTTGTGTTCTTTTATTACAGAGGAAGTAATTCACAATGAAAGTGTGTTTTACCACAACACTTTAAAATTTGAGAGATTAAAATGTCAAGTGTTGCTGACAAGAGAGATGAGAAAGTCAGTTGGTCAGAAATGGGGAATAACAGAGGGAATGTAGCTGGGGAACAGGTGTAATGAATTGCACAAAATAGGTTTTGGTAAATGTGGAGAAAGGATTTGATGAGTGAGATAAGTTGAAGTGCATGTAAAAGTGGAGAGATTTGTTTAAAAGTAATTGATTTAATTTTACGTTCCATAGGGGTCTTACAAAGTCTTTTATCTTCATGAAATTTACTTTTGCCTTGCGCATACCACATACAAAGTTCTTAATGGATTTGCATGATCGCCATGGGGTTTAAGGACACCTTTAGGAAGGCTTTTATTTACTTGGACATAATCGAAAGTAGTTGCTTAAGCTCAACTGCTTGAGTTTAATGTTAATATGTCGAACAAGCTTTGAATTTTCTGTGATGGATTCATAGTTTGCAACTCACATCTGCATCATTCTCGGTCTGTATTTAGTTGTTTTGTTGTTGAGTGTCCTGTTTCCTTTTCATGTAGATGAGCTGAGTTCCAGTGAACTGATCAAATTTACCACTAAGTAAATTTACCACTTATTTAAATGCCTAGCAGTTGAGCCTGTTCTGTTGCGGTGTAAAATCATTCAAAAGGCAAAGCAAATGTTTTCGACAGAAAAGTACATTATATGCAACTAAATTAGCCATAATAGTGGTTTTTATTTTAAGTCTCATTCATTCATTTCTTCAAATGACATTTTTGTAATGCTCAGATTTCCTGATGGTTTTTCTTCTTCTTGGGTGACTTTTATGCTTCTTTTTTGAGCAATGACTTGCACATTGCCATATGTGGATAATGATATTAAAGCAAGTTAAACCTTATTACCTTTTGTTTTACTTATTTGGAAATAGAGTACTTTTACCAGTCGCACGTGTAGACATTTCAAACAATACTAAACACATGTTAACTTTATGAGAGTTGTTCAAATTAAAACCATATAAATTGTTGTGTGAGTTTGGGTGATCTCTGCAAGAGTGGGGATGCAGGGAAGGAGTGTGTGTGTGTGTGTGTGTGTGTGTGTGTGTGTGTGTGTGTGTGTGTGAGAGGTGTTCAAATGTTAATTTGCAAGCAAGGTCCTTCTTCTCATAGGCCTGTGGTGAGGTTGATCTCTTCAACCAGTTCTTCCAGTCTTACAACTTCTTCAGATAAACTCAAGATCTGAGTGTACTCAACTGTGCTATTTTTAAACACACTGAAGATGAACTAAAATATGCTTTTAATTAGCATGCTATTTCAGCTTAATTTTTTTCTAATTTGTTACCCCTTTTAGTACAATTGAACCCATCTTTAATGCATTTTTAAATAGACTTATAAATTATTTAAAATATAATATATTAAAATCATATTTATGTATTGCTCACATATTTTTTATATAGTAAATAATTTATTTCATATATATATATATATATATATATATATATATATATATATTTAACTACAGTATGTTAAGAGTTTCCTTATAAAACATAATTAAATATTTAATAGCACTTCTTTGGTAGTATTTTAATACACTTTAAAGCTATTTTAGAACTACAGCTGAAGTATATTTTTAGCTTCACATTAATGTGTTCCCAGTATATTTTAAATATAATATCAGCTTACTAATATTGTATTAGTATAACAGTATAAGAGCCACTATAAGTATATTAAAAAGACATTTTTACAAAACCATTCAGTATGAAAATAATACATTTTAATGTACTAAAAATACAGTGAAAATTAATTCCATAAAACAGACAGTAAAATATATTTGTATAAAACATACACACACACACACACACTTTGAAAGCTAGTAAGGGGGGCTTGTTTTGCTTGTTTTGTGATATCTGGCAACCCGTGACCCTGAGCTTTAATCAAGAGAAGTTCAGAAGTGTCAAGTTCATCAAGTTCAGAAGTGACTAGAAGGAGAGCAGCAATATGAAAACCAAACAGCAGCTATTGTTAGTGTTGACTAAGTAGTTTAAATTATACACACCTTATAACAGTATGTCATTATTTGACAATAGCCCGGTGAACACCGCGTCCCCTCACAGTGCGTGTGCACGTGCACGTCTTTTGCATAAAAAAAATGTGATCGATTAATTTGAGTGTCAAGTTGTAATCACGAATCGAATCAAAGGATGATTTTATCAGCTGATTCAGTGGCCAATTGTTTGGAGTTAAAAAAAGATATAACTCGTGCTGCATATTTAATAATTTTGCCTCAGATAAAACTAGACTAAAACTAAAACAATTCAGATGACTAAAATATGACTAAAACTTAATGGCATTTTAGTGGCATTTAATGGCATTGCAGGATCAAATCATATTCTTGAGTTTAACTCATAATTTTTTCCCAATGCTGTTCAAAAATTGTGACTCGCATCCTGCAGTGCAGGGGAAAGATGTTGCCGATCCTGTTAAAGCTGTCCGTGGGTGAGCACAGCGTGGCCAGTTCATGTGGCACAAGAAAGAGTGTGTTTTTACTGTCTTGATTCGGGTCATCTCATTGCGGAATATAAGCATGGAAAAAGAAAAAACACGACTAATTCTAAAAGTGTTGCTTTTGTAAAATCCATCTGAAGCCCACAGAATCAAGTAAGTGATCGATAAATGAACCTTTTCTATTAATTGGATCAGTTGGGTTGTCAAATGATTTGAGTTTTAAGCCAATTATATGCTGATGTTACAGGATTTGCTCAGACACTTATGTTGAGTACAGTGTTGCCGCTGTCTAATGAATCATATACGGGAGCTAAAATGTTGCTCCGAGGAGTGGAACTGAGCTGTATTAAAGTTCTCTTGTAGGCTACTACTGAAAAAGAAATGCTCACATTAGTATTAGCGCTTTAACATTTTGAAGTTTATTTAGACAACAGTTCTCTCCCAGTTGACGTGTTCACGGATCATAATCCCCTGATTTTTCTTTCGCGTTATTTATTAAACCACAAAAGATCCTAATGTTGTTTTTAACCTCAAAACAAGAATTTGATCATGTTTTCCCCCTACCAAAGTATTTAATAATTGCATAGAAGAGAATGATCAGAAATCCACTTCACCACTTTAGTACTTTAAAAATAAAAAAAATTGTGTTTATCATGATTTCTTTTTCATTGGCAGTGGATTTTCAGACCACATGATCCAGGATATTATCAGCACTTACATGGTGTTGCCCAATAGGATCACTGTACCCCTGATAGGTGAGGTTGAACTGGCACAGCTTCGTTTCCCTATGCCAAAGGTGAATACACATACAAAACTATCTCAGTGCTTATTATTTGGCAAACCTGTTCATATTAATATTTAGTAATCTCTTGTTATATTTAATTCTCTCTCACACTCATAAGGGAGTTCTAAGGATTCATTTTCTTGAGGCTCAGAATCTGGAAGTTAAGGACACATACCTGGGCGGGTTGATCAAAGGCAAGTCTGACCCATATGGCATGCTGCTTGTCAGCAACCAGGTCTTTAGAAGCAAGACCATCAAAGAATGTCTGCACCCCAAATGGAACGAGGTGTATGAGGTGAACATACGCACACACATATACAAATGCTAATTTACTGCACTCTTAAGACTCATGCACACACTCTAAAATGTGCTTTCCTGCATTTTATTATTAGGCACTAGTATATGAACATTCAGGACAGCATCTGGAAATAGAGCTTTTTGATGAAGACCCAGATAAAGATGACTTCTTGGGCAGGTGCCATATTCATTTATGTTGCTGAAATGTGAACATTATTTATATAACTTTTTAAAAACTTGTAATGTTTCATTTATTTTTGTTCCAGTCTAATGATCGACTTGAGTGAGCTTCATAAAGAACAGAAGGTTGATGAGGTAATATGTTCACACTTTCATTCTTATTAAAGGTTGTATCAGCGATTGTGGGTAACGTCACTTCTGTTTGTGTTCGAAGCAAGATCCCAAACAAAATAAGTTGGCTCGTCCCTCCCTCCCGTTTCGTGCATCATGAAAAAAACCATCATGCCCGCGCATTTCTGAAAGTGACAAAAACACACTATTTTCAGATTGAGGGTATACCTCAATGATGGCTCATTCTGTGAACTCTAAAATGTGAACATGGCTGCTTTGGATTACAAAGTATAATGATGTAGATAAAATCTTGAGATTATTCTGTATTGGTAGGCATTGATTATTCCTTTATACACTGCCCCCTTATATAGACCATTTCAATGGCGTAAACAATAACAGACGCGTTGGAATGCTACTGCGCATGTCTGGCCCTGAGGCACTTCCGGTGTCGCCATTTTTAAACTACAGCACAGTCAAAACAAAATGACTAGCTCATACTTTTTAAGTCTAGCTAAACCAGAACAGTTAAGATATTCAAAAAAACTTACAATAGGCGATTGCGTGGAATTACCGGACCCTTTAAATCAGACGCTGAGGCGAGAACTATTCACTCAGAACGTAAAACATTTACCTGAAGTGTCGTATCCAGACGTGTACCATTATCTGGTGGAGACCGAGTGCGTCTACACGAGAGAAGCGGTTAAGGCATATCGTAGCCTAGATGCGTACAACTACTTCCTCAGTGGAAAAGTCGGAAACATTTGTTCCTACAATGTGGACGATATTTGTCTTGTATTTGGTGAAGTTGGAGCAAGTCAGACATTGTCAAAAACGTACTCTGCGTGGTTCGTTGCTAAGGTGACCGGGGAGGTTATTAGCGGGCATTGCACTTGCATGGCTGGGTAAATATGTCTATTCAAATAATAAATCACGTTGCTAATCCTTTAGTAAACAAATTGTTGTATTCTATTATTACCCATTGCATAATTAATTATTTCATACGATTGGAAATATTTGTGGTTAGGTTAGGTGAAGTGTGTAGCCATGTTGCTGCAATCCTGGTTGCTGTGGAACAGTGTGTTAGAGAAGGTTTGAATGCTCCATCTGTAACATCTGAGACCTGCATGTGGTCACGAATAAACAAGAAGGTGCATGCAATTCAATTCTGACTAACGTGTTTTTTGTTCTAATTTATTTAAATTAAAAATCTAATTCTAATCACATCCCTTATGAAAATGAAATACGGTTTTACTGCAAATAGAAAACAGGGTTATTGTAGTTAAACCATGGTAACCAAAAAATATACATAAATAACAAAAATAACCATAGTTTTGCAACACTAGCCATAGTTTAATCATGGCATTAGTATTAAAAAAAAAACGAAACAAAAACATGACTTCTTTTACTTGGTTAATAACCATAGTTATTTTTCATAAGGGATGTGTGTTGCTGCTTTTATATAAAAGTAGATACTCACTGTAAATGTATAATCCCACTTTGTTTTAGATTGATCCAAAACCAGTGGCAGACATAGACTTTTCCAAGCCTGTCAGACAAAGAGCAATTCAGAGTAGGGAGCCTATCTTACCCAGAGTAGTCACACCGGTCTCACCAAGCATGCTTTTTAAGTCATTAAAGGTAAGGAATTTTCAGAAACCTCATGACAATACGCAAAACACATGTTCCTACATGGTTTGCATGGATATAGTCACATAAATGAATACATATATGGAAATATGCACCATTTATACATGTATCTAACTATATCTGTGAAATAACTAAAAACTGCAAGAACACATTTCATGATTTTCCATACACATACTGTGTATGTGTGTGCATTTGTATGGATTGAATCGTCAAATAGGAACTTTTTAAGGACAAAGCAGGTCATAGAAAAGTAGTTAGTAGTAAGTAGTAAGTAGATTTTGATTAGTTACTAGATTGTTAATATTGTGTGTTACTCATTTGTTCCAGTGTAGGTATTTATTAACGAAGGAACCATATTCTAAAGTGTTATCAAATAATGTAAACCAAATGCAATACAGATATCTAACTACACTTTCATCAACATGTACATTCACATTTTTTTTAATTATCTGTATTGAGAGATGTGTTACACAAATAAATTTGACTATGATTTAATGTGATTCTGATTTCAGAATGAGATCCCAGACTGTGCACTGTTTACCACTATAACTGTAGGTAGTGATACAGACACTGCATCTGAGGGAGAGCAGGAGAACACAGACAGAGTTGATGTTCTTACTACAGCTGAGGCAGATTCTAGTGAGAAATCACACGTAGCAGTTCTGAGTGACAGCACTGTAGATGCAACAAACTTGCCAAAGCCCCTTACACATCTTTTTGATGAGAAGCACAGTTTATTGTCACATGATGAACTACAAAATGAGCTAGATAAAATCATGCAAACCATCCCTACTTACTTTAATGAACTGAATTGTAAGCACCTCCAAGAAAGCACACTAGGTCAGTCCTCTTGTGAACAGTGGTTTGAGCAGAGACAGGGCAGAATCACAGCTAGCCACTTTAATGAAGTGTTAAGAAGCAAGACAAGTCAAGCTAGCGTGACATCAAAAATTATGGGCTACACATCCAGCAGAAATGTACCAGCCTTAGCTTGGGAAAGAATAATGAAAAACTAGCAAGAGAAGCATTTACTTCAAACCAGATGACTTGTCATGACAGCTTGATAGTGGAAGAAGTTGGGTTAGTAGTAAATCCAAAATTTCCTCATTTAGGAGCCAGCCCAGATGGAATAGTCCATTGCAAGTGCTGCCCACGCGCAACACTTGAAATAAAATGCCCCTTAAAGTATGCAAATATGTCCATAACTGATGCTATCAAGAGCAAAGATTTCTGTCTGGGAAAAAACTTTGAGCTTAAACAGAACCATGCATACTATGCACAAGTTCAGGGGCAAATGGCAGTGTGTGAACTGAAAACATCTTTCTTTGTCATTTGGACAACAGAGGACTGCCACATTCAGAAAGTAGACTTCTCTGAAGAGTACTGGGCTGAGATTAGAACAAAACTGGACCTCTTCTACAGACAGCACATTCTCACAGAAATTTGCACACACAAACTGATGAAACAATTTCTGATCGCAGAGACTTCCTGTTTGTGTAAAAGCAGGTCTAAAACATGTGTCACACAGTGCTCTGTCTGTCACAAGGTGTTTCACCTGAAATGTGTAGGCTTAAAAAGGCACCCTGGTGAGCAATGGTTTTGTTCAGTTTGTTCACCATAATCCAAAAAAATGTGAATTCATACACAACCTTCCCAGTAATTTGTTAAAATTGTTATTTTAATAATTGTAATACGTTCAATTAATTGCAGGACAACAAATATTCTCATTAACAAACAAATGTTTAATAATTGTTGATTATGATCATTTAATTTAATAATTGTAAATGTAATAATTGTAAAATGATAATTTAAGACCAAACATTTATCCAATAGAAATCTATATACAATAGATATACAGAATGATGTACACAATCATTCAATAACAAAATAAAAGGTTTTTAACCACCTGTCAGTGTCTCGTGGTTTTTTTTACTGAATTAATGACTTGTCCCAAATTCGATAATGCAGAACAAACCAGAAGAATTTTATCCACAGTTGCCACAGTGTCTACTGATCTTCGCTTCACCAAGTTTACAGGGAGTGTTTGTTTCAGAATGCAGTACTTTTTAATACGACCAATAGCTCTTTCCACGTGAATCCTCAACCTTGACATTTGACGTGACACAGACACTTCTTGTCCTGAAAGCTGCGTCTTTCCACGGGTTGAAGCTGGTATGAGTAGCTGGACTCCTTTTGCAGCAAAATACTCAGGGAAACTGAACCCTCTGTCAGCCATGACAATGTCTCCCTCTTCCAAAAGATCAATTAAACCAGATGATTTTGTGATTGTTTTGTCACTGGCTCTACCACCCCAAGACTTGGAAAGGAATGTGATTGACCCCGTTGGACTGATGCCAACCAGGAATTTGATGGTGTTGTGGGACTTATAGTTGGAGTATGTCATTGTTCTTGCACTGAGTGATGTTGGTCGGTCAATAAAAATCTCGCTGCAGTCTATGATACACCTCACTGAATTGAATGGGGGGGTTTTGAACAAGTCAGGAAGATTTTTTTTAATCTCTTCCCTAGAAGGCCAACGAATTAGAGAGCTGAAACGCTGTGTCATCACGTTTAACCAGTCGTGAAATATTGCAGAGATTGTAGCACAACTGCAATGAAACCTGAAGGCAAGATCTTTATGAGTGAGGCAAGTCTCAGTTTCATTAAGACCAAGTAAAACTGGAGAGGTGTTGGAGGACTATGTGTTCTCGGACTCCAAGCAGTGGTGAGATATGTCAAAAGGGCAAAAAACACTTTGCATGAGCGAAGGCCAGTGTAGAAGTGAAATGATTCCATCATCGTTTAAATCCACATCAGATTTCCGTCTTTTCCGCTCACTGGTGAGAGTTTGTACCTTTTTATGTAGGCTTCTCACTTGCTCTTTGTAAGATGTGTTCTGTTTCTGCATATCTTCAATATCACTCATTGTGAGATCTGTTCCAACACACATATCATTGAAGGACTTAACTTGAGTTACATCTATGTCCATGTCCTGCACTTCCTCAGTAGGCTGAACTCCAATGCTCATCTCAGAAACCTGTGACGCCCGTCTCAGAGACCTCTGATACCGGTCCATATTTTCTGAAGGTATCAGGTCTGTGAGGAAGCTTTGATGGTATGTAATCTGGATGTAGAGGATCATCTGATGGCTTTCCTAAAGACACAAGTAGAAAAACATTATTGGGATAGGTTATATATTTATATTATATAACGACCAAGAGCATTTTTAATATAATTATCAAATAAACTAGCTAGTTAGCTATCCGTATGACCCCTGCACACTGTCTGTAACACAACAGGGCTTGTATTGGTTATATTTTAGGTATCATGAACAAATAATTAACATTTTACAGCAAAGTCTAATACATTTTACAATTGTTAAAAACAGATTTGTTTATTCTTTAAGATGATCTGCACATGACAAATTGTAATAAAATTACTTTTAACACCACCTACTATGTGGCCGTTTTACCCTAAACTGAATCATATTTTTTAAACTCTAAGTAAATTCAGTAAAAAACAAAAAAAAGGATTTCTCTAAGTAAATAAAAGTAAATTAGGTAATCAACCCTCACTGGTCTCGGTCTCGACTCGGACTCGACCGTCTCTAGTCTCGGACTCGACTCTCTATGGACTCGGTCTTGACTCGGACTCGACTCTCTCTGGTCTCGGTGTCGACTCGGACGCGAGTGAGGTGGTCTCGACTACAACACTGGTTTTTCCACGCGCCTGGCGTATGTTTTCAATGGGAGCGTCGCGTTTTTTAAACACCATGAGCGTACCGAGGCGCTGAGTGTTTTTTTTCACGCTGAAGCGCCAAGCGCCCAGAGTTTTTTACTGGTCGCTGGGAGTTGAAAAATTTTCAACTTTGGATAAAACGCAGCGCTCATCACTGTCACTTTTTACCCAGCCATCCAATCACAGTGGTGGAGGGGCGGGACTAATACCACACCGACCAACTGTCACAACATTCAAACTGCTGCGAATATTCTGTATCATAGCAACGAAACGTCTCAACAGAAAAAACGCTGCGCTGCCAAACGCTCTCAAGCGCCCAAAGCACGGCATCTTCAGCACAGCGGTCTAGAGTTTTCAGCTGGCAAAAACGTTTTGGTGGACACACGGCCTAAATGACATGTCAACAAAAAGCCATTATTCACAAGTAACCACTTATTTAATTGTTTCTGTGTATTGTGTCTCCTGTCCCTGCTAGACGATAACACTCAAACTGAAGACATGGATGAGAGGAATCTCTTCTCCAGAGGTTCACGGCGTCTCCCGGAGCTGAGACTGGTTCTGCTGGGAGAGAGAGAGACGGGGAAAAGCTCGGCTGGGAACGCCATCCTCGGAGGACCCGGACACTTTCAAAGTGGAGAGGCGACGGAGGAGTGTTCGAGACAGCAGATGGAGGTTTCTAACAGACTGGTGACGGTGGTGGATGTGCCTGGATGGGAGGGCGGACCGGAGGGAACAACTCCAGAGAGAGTGAAGCGAGAGATTGGAATGAGCGTGATGTTGTGTCCTCCCGGACCTCATGCGTTTCTTTTGACGTTGCGCGTAGATGCGTTTGTCCAAGCCCAGCCGGTGCGGGAGCACATGGAGCTTCTGGGGGAGGCGGTTTGGAGACATACGTTGCTTCTGTTCACGAGGGGCGACCAGCTGCGAGAGGGAGTCACCATTGAGCAGCACATACAAGGAGGAGGAAAGGAACTTCGCTGGCTGGTGGAACGATGTTCAAATAGGTTCCATGTCATCAGCAGCAATTCTAATTTGGAACCTCGGAATTCCAAAACACAAATAACGGAACTTCTGGAGAAGATTGAAAAGATGGCGGCGGTAAATCGATGCGAGGCCTTCTCCCCGCTAGTGCATGAGATTCAAGAGTTGGGAAGACAAAAAAACGAGAAAATTCAACTGAAGGTCAAGGAGTTTAGCGAGAAGCTTCAACGGCAGGACGAAGAACTGAAGAAGATGAAGGAACGAGAGGTCAAGAGCATTCGGTGGTTCTTCGAAAGACGCAAGAAAGACAAAGTCCAATCTCCCGGGAAGGCCGAGAGGGAAGAGACGCCGTACAAAGGCGAAGATGACAGGAGGAGTGTGATGGGCGAGCTGGAGGAGAGGATGGCGTGGTTAACGGAAGACAAGGAGCGAGAGATACATGACCTGAACGCCGAAATAAGCAAACTCATGGTGACTCACCATCAGGGACTGAAAGAGAAAGAGCAACTGCTAATGAGATCAGAGGAACGAGAGCGAGAGGGGGAGGAACTTAAAGAGAAAGTGGATGAGCTTCAGATTAAACTGCTAGAACAGGAGCGCTTGGCTGCCGTGAAAGAGCAAGAACGAAAAGAGAGAGAGGCCGAAATTCAGCGAGCACATTTGGACGAGAAGAATGAACTTCAAAATAGATTGTTGGACGCTGAAAAAGAGACTGATAGGATGAGAGGAAAGGCTGAGGAAAGTCAAAAAGAGATGGATTCATTACAACGCAGGTGTGAAGAAGAGGCCAGGCAAAAGGAGAGCAAACTGAAAGAGAAGGACAATGAAATTGAAAACATTTTAAGAGAAATCGAGGAGGTGAAACTTAAGGCAGAGAGCAGAGAAAGAGAACAAGGTGAGATATTCAGGGAGAGAGAGAAAGAGATGAGAAAGGTAATCGAGATGATGACAAAAGAGATAGAGCAGCTGAGAATGTCCAATCAAGAGCAAGCAAAAACGACCGAAGCCGAGAGAGAAATGCATGGAGACCTTATGGAGAAATACAACACGCTCATAGATAAAATTGAAGGGAAAGACAAAGAAATAGAGCGAACGATGAAAGAGAAGGAAAGAGAGCAGAATCGAAATGCTGAAACGGGAGAGAAGCTTCGGCAAAAAGAAGACGAAATAGTGGAATTGAGACAACGAGATCAGGAAAGGGACAGAGAATTGAAGACACTGAAGCAAAACATTAGCGAAAAACAGAGGGATACAGAAAAGTTAAAAGAAACCATACAGGCAAATACTGATAAACACACAGCGGAGCGTAAAGTTTGGGAGGAAGAGTTGAAAGCAAAAGAAGACGAAATTGACAAGTTAAAACAAAGAAACCTAGAGAATGAGAAATGCGTCGACAAACTGAAGCAAAACATTAGCGAAAAACAAAATGATATTGACAAGTTAAAAGCACGTATTGAAGAACACGCGGCTCAACTAAAGCACCAACAGGGGGAATTCAAAGTAAAAGAGGAGGAAAATGAAAAATTAAGACAGGGAGTCCAAGAGAAAGAAGAAGAAATTGACACACTTAGGCAAAGCATTAACGAAAAACAGAAAGACATTGAAAAGTTAAGAGACTGTGTTGAGTCGCATGCTGAAGAAAGTGCAGCTCGACTGAAGCATTTAGAGGAAGAGCTGAGGATAAAAGAAGAGGAAATAACCAAATTAAAACAAAGAGACGAGGAGAAAGACAAAGAAATTCACACACTTAAGAAGAATATTATTGGCCAAGAGCAGGACGCTGAAAGACTGAAAGACATCATTCAATCAAATATTGACGAAAGTGCAGTTCAAATGAAACGTTTAGATGACGAATTCAAAATAAAAGATGAGGAAATAATCCAATTAAGG